GCAGTACGTGACCGTGGTGCTCAACCTGGGCGAGAAGCCCTTCGCGCGGGCCTCGGCTGCCCCACTGTGTGCCCCCCCTGATGGCTCGCGGCGCGCGTGCGCGCGCCTTCGGAGCATCGGGTCGAGCGAAACGGGTGCAACTACAGGGGAAGAGGGGCTACGAAGTCTGCTGGTTTCGGCGCCGCCGCTGGGCGCTGTCATTCGATGCACCGGCGCCTCGGGCGCTCGGAGGCGCTGGGGAAGCCAGCTGGGCGAGTTGATTGGCTCCCCCCCTATTCCCCCCCGCACCCCCCGCCCCCATTTGTCCGCTCCGAGCAGGGGAGTTTCCCAGAGACCCCCAGTCGAGCAAAACGTAGCATCAGCACGACCTCTGGAGGTCCGCGAGCATTTCTCGTGTCGGCGCCAGACCCCCCCCCCCTTCCCTGGCGCGCGTGGTGCGCCAGGGGTGGTGGCGCCAGAGGCTCCGCCAGAGGCTCCGCCAGAGGCTCCGCCAGGGGGGGGTCCAGCGTCGGCCCAAGAACTCCAGGCGGACATCCGACGGTGTATTATGGGTATGTCGCTTTTTGTTCCACTATCCAGGCCCACCGGGCTTCGGGACTGTCGAAAGGGGTACGGAAAGAGTGGGTGCGATGCCCAACAGCAGTTTCTGCTTCTTCTGAACGTGACTCGCTGTCTGCGACGCCGCGGACGTTGTTCATTGAAGAGAAAAGGCCACCCGCCCGACCGCGGCGGCTGTCTGTTCTGGGCAACATTTGCTGTTGGGCATTGTACCCATTTTTTCCGTACCCGTTCTGGGCGTCCGAGAGGTCGCTTCCAAGGACCTCCAGGTGCTTGCAAAGCGCGGATCGGAGGGAGGAGAAGCGACACCAACACCACCAGGGTGCCCACCTCCAGCGAGGAGGTCCACGACGCCTCCCCGAGCTGGAGGCCGGGGATGTCTCGAGCGAGAGGGGGGGACCACACCACCAGGGAGACCCCCCCTGCCTCCTCGCATCTCCTCGCCCCGGTGGCGTTGGTGTCGCCGTTACTTGTCCCTACGCGGAGGGGGGGCCAGTCTGTGGCGCGAGTGGAAGGCTCCTCGCCCCCGTGCGTCATCGCCGCGGGGCGGCTTCTGAGAAGGACAGGCTCGCACGCCCCTCTGCCCTCCCAAGTGCGCGGGCAGGTCGTTATGGGCATCCCACCTAGCCTTTGTGGAGGTCGATTCATGGAGAGGAAGCATGCTGCCACGTACTCTCCAGATGTCTGAAGGATGTTTCAAGCATGTTTTGATATGTGTTAAAAGCATGTTTGACACATTGTTAGAACATTTTTTTACACATGTTTGGAGCATCTTTAATTCAGTGAGCGGTTTGTTCGAGTGTCCAGTGTCATGGCATCCACAAAACCGGCCGCCGCGGTGGGACGCGGCTCGAAGAACCTGGCAGGGTGCTGCCTGGGACAGGGGCTCTCGATGCCCGTTTTGGGGACCTTCCTGGGGGCCACCTAACGGATCTGTTCGACCCCAGTTCGACTCAAGTTCGACTCAGGTTCGACCCAGGTTCGACTCAGGTTCGACTCAGGTTCGACTCAGGGTCGACCCAAACCGACTGACGTTCGACGCAGCTTCGACGCACGAGTGGAGCGAGTGGCTCCAGGAAGGTCCCCAGAACGAGCATCCAAGGGTTCAGGGGCTGGTTCCAAGCGGATTTTGGCTGTGTGGGGCTGATCTATCCACGTTGGCTCCAACGGTGAGCACCAGCAGTCACGATCGCAGACAGAATCGCGCGCGGTGGCGTGCGCAGATTTTCAGCGTGTCTAGTCTGTCTAAGTGGGCTGAAGGTGAGCGTAGCCTACACATACTCGTAGGAATGAGCATATGCACACTCGCATCCCGTCACCATTGATCACATCACAGTGGTTTTTGACTCCTGTGGTGTCTTCCCCGGCAGCCCAGCATGTCGCACTTTCCAGTGGCCGCTTGGCGTCCCGTGTTTTCTGTAGCTTTACCCTTCACAAGCCCTGGCGTGTCGTGCTTCCGGGTGACCGCTGGGGATCCCATGAGATCTTGTGAGATTTGCCGCGTTTGTTGGTGGCGGCTTGCGGTTCTACGGCCGCCTGTGGCTTCCCCTCGCTTGCCCTGGGCGTTGCGCCTTCCTGTAGCCGTTGACAGCATCGCATAGAGTGCACGGCATGTATCACACCACGCACAATGAACCCAAGTTGTGTATGTACACACATACGTATACATGTATGCATGCATGCATCTATGCAGGTATGCAGGTATATATATATATATATATATATATATATTAATGTATATATATATGCAGGCGGGTGGATGGTGTACATGCTCATTGGTATATGTAAAAGTTTTATGCCTATACATAGACATAGACATATATATATATATATATACATGAATGTACATGTCTTTATGTATGTATTTGCAGCTGCGTCTTATATATACACACACTATATATATGTATATGTATATGGGTGCACCCCCCGGCGACCCCTCAAAGCGCTCGAAGCACGAAGCCTCATACTCGATCGCTTCATGAAGCGTCGCAGTCGCTTCGCAAACTGGCTTTGGGTTTTTTGCACAACCGATCCATTAGCCTGTGATCCTGGCTGGCTGACGAGCGGCTTACTACAGGCATTATTTCAGGTTTCTTTTTTTCAATTGATGTTTACAAAATACGAATCATTCCTTAACAGAGGCGTCTTTACTAGTAACCGGGGAATCCTCACTAATGATCCCATGCTACAGGTATTCAGGCGAAGAATTCCTTACGACAGTGATCCAGTCATCCTTCACAGAGAACCAGGAGTACCGAGGGCCCCTTACTGAATGATCGGGCCCTAGGTGGCACGAAACGCTGTGTTCTGTTTGCTGTTTTGTTTTTCTTGGTTTGGGAAGCGCCGGTGCTAACCGCGGCCTCCTCCCAGCACCTCAATCTGAGCTTCCAGAACCAGAAAAACCAACTATACAGTGTCTGGGGCCCTCGGTGCCACGAGGCGCTGTGTATGGGATTTAGCGAAGCACCTTTGTTTTTGATTTCGGAGGCTCTGGTCCGCACCGCGGCCTCCCCCCGACACCCCTCTCGGAGCCTCCAGCGCAGAAAGGAACACCACACCCAACATTTGCAGTGTTGCTTCCCAGGCCAGCACAAGCCCAACCCACCAAACATACGAAGTGCTTCGTGGCACCCAGGGCGCCAGCCGCACTGTGTGTGTTTGGGCTTTTTCTGGCTTCGGGAGCTCAGGGCGGGTTGGGGGGCAGGCCGCAGTGAGCACCTGAGTTTCCCAACCCATGAGAACCCAAAAAACCATATATGCACAGTGTTTCGCTGCTTCCCCAGCCAAGGGTACAGCGACGCACCCACACAGCGTTCCGTGTCACCGATGGCCCGATCCTTGCGCAAGGATCCCTTCGTATTCTTCGTTTCTTTCTTGAGTATTCCTGTAGTAAGGACTCCATCGTCAGGATGCCTTCAGTATGGGATCCTTAGTCGGGGTTCCAGCAGTAAGGAATGCTGATTAAGGTCGCCGTTTGGTAAGGAGTTTCTGGTAAGGATGCCTTTCTTAAGGAATCCTTTGTACATAGCCCTTGAACAAGGAATCCTTAGGAAGGATGCCTGTAGTAGGCGGTTTGTCAGCCAGGAACACAAGCTAAGGAATTTGTTGTGCACAAACCACAGCAGATGAGCGAGGCGATTGTGCACCTTGGTGCAGCGACTGGCCCTGCGCCTCCGTGTTCTGTGCGTTGGGGGGGTCGCTGGAGGGGCGGACCGCGCATGCATATTTACACATACATCTATATGCATACATGTACGCACGAGCAGCAGCATACGCTTCAGCATGATTGTGTGTACCTCAGCGTTGCACTGCGATGTCTAAGCGTCGGCATGGGCACGCGCATCAGCATCGACGCACACAACGTTACGCAACCCTTGCAGCAGTTTTACGAGGGAAGATCATAGGTGTATTTGTTGCGAGCTCATGCTCTCGGCTTTTGTCCAACCATCCGCTGGTGGACTCATTAGTCTTTGGGGAACATGCATCTTTAGCATGTTCGCCCTGCGAATTTCACAGTGTCCGAAACGGCCGAAGCAGGCTTCAAGACGACTCCACAGGGCCCCCAAGACGGGTTCAGAGGGCCCCAAGAGAGTCCCAGGGGCGCTCAAAACGGCCCAAGGGAGCCCCAAGAGTGCCCTATGTGAGGCCCCAGAGGGCCCTCAGAGGGAGCCCAGAGGGGTCGTGGGGCACTATCTTGGGGTGTGTGGCTCCCAACGTGCCCCCAGGACCCTCCAGGAGACCCCCAAGGACGCTCCTCCTCCTCCTGCCCCTCCTCCTCCTCCTCCCCCTCCTCCTCCTCCGCCTCCTCCTCCTCCTCCTGCCCCTCCTCCTTCTCCCCCTCCTCCTCCTCCTCCTCCTCCTCCGCCTTCTCCTCCTCTTCCTCCTCCTCCTCCTCCTCCTCCTGCAGCCCTGAGAAGCTCCCGACCTGCCTCACAGCGGCGCGGAGAGGCCCTCCAGAGGCCTTGCAAAGGCTTCCTGGTTCCTGGGCCTCAGCACCGTCACGCCGCGAGGCCCCGAGAGGCGTCCAAGGCGGTCCTACCTCACGGGCCATGCCAGGGGTGTGCCAACATAGGCGGGGCGGCTGGGCCGTCTCGGGTGCTTATTGGGCCGTCTTGGGGCCCCTTGGGGCGTCTCTCGGGGCTTCTCGGGCCGTCTTGGGATGATCTCGGAGGCCTCTTGTGCCGTCTTGGACGCCGTGAAGGTTGAACAGTCGCATATGCTTGATCTCATTCTCTCTTTCTCTGTTTTTTTTTGTTATCTCTCTTTCTTTCCTTCTCTCTCTCTCTCTCCCCCCCCTTCTCTATCTCTCTCTTTCTTTCTCTTTATGCATAGATGCATATGCGTATGTATGCATGCATGCGTGCATGATATGATATGTTTTGCAATGATATATTATTGCATGTCCTGCGATGACATGCTATGTGATGTTAGGTTACGTGATGTTATGACACGTTGTGGATTGTAATTTGATGGGCTATAGGGTAATGTGCTGGCATATGTTGTAATGTAATTTTATGTATTGTGATGTAATGTGCTGCAAGGTAATGTAGTGTAATGCGCTGAAAAGAAATGTAATGCAATGCAATGTAATGCCATGCAACGTACTGTAATTTATTGTACACTGTTGTAAGGTGATCTAGTGTGATGGAATGTAATGCGTTGTAATGAAACGCAGTATAATGGAATGTAGTGCGTTCTAATGTAATGTAGTGTGTTACAATGTAATGTAGTGTAATACGCTGTCGTGTAAGGTAGTGCGTTGTAATGTACATGTGATGTAATTTACTGTGCTGTACTGTAATGTTATGCAGTGTGAGTTTATGTAATGTAGTGCAATGACATGCGCTGCAGTGTAATGTAATGTAATGTAATGTAATGTAATGTAGTGTAATGTAATGTAATGATATTTAGTAACGTAATGCAATTTAGCGTAATTTAATGTAGTGTACTTTAATGTAATGTAATGTACTGTACTGTAATGTAATGTACTGTACTGTAATGTAATATAATGTAATGTAATGTAATGTAATGTAATGTACGAGCGGGTGTATGTATGTATGTATGTATGTATGTATGTATGTATGTATGTATGTGTGTATTTAGAAATCTGTTCCCATTGGAAATTTGCAAATGTTGCCTCGTAGAGCCTCTGGTGGGAGGGCTCTTGGAGGCCTTCTGGGGCGTCTTTGTGGCTTCTTGGGCCGTCTGGAGGCTATCTGGTGCGTGTGGGACCCATCGCTCGGCGACTCAGGGCCCTTTCGGACCGTCTGAAAGGCCTCTTCTTGGCCCGTCGGGGGGCCCTCTTGGGGCACTCCGGGGCCGTCTGGGGCCCTCCAGGAGCGCTCGGGACTCAGCCCCCCCCCCACAGGGCCCCAAACCGTCCCGGACCATATTCTTTGTAGACAGGTATTCGTTGCAAGAGTATATCTATGTATACACACATATGTGTGTATATGTATACATGCAAATATACATATTCACATATTTGTATACATGCATATTTACACATACACCTTTGTTTACATACACATACATACACATACACACATACATACAAATACACATACACATAATCACATATACATTTACAGGCATATACATGTACATGCACACACATAAAAAAACATATGTATACATAAGCATACACAAGTTCGTACACACATTCATATCCATATGCATTTACATGTATATATACATGTCCATCTACGCACGCACATGCATATACATAGACACGCATATCCATGTACACATACATGTACTATACCTTTACGCATCTACATAAACATGTACATATACATGTACATTTGTATACACATACACATATATATACACATACATATGCACATACATATTTATATACATATACATGTACACATACGTATACGTATACATGAAATTATACATGCACATGCACATTTACATTTACATTTACATATACGTTTACATATACATTTGCCTATACATTTACACATACATCTACATATACATTTACATGTACATGTACAAGTGCATATCCATATACATTTACAAGTACATTTGCATGTACATACACATTTACATGTACACATACACTTACACATAATATACAACCATATTTACACACACTTACACATACATATACATACATACATACATTTACACATATATTGCGAAGGCCTTACGCCGGGTGCCGCCGACCCTGAAGACGAAGCTGTCTGTGACGCCGTGAAGGCCGAAACGTCGTATATGCTAGAAATGTAAGTTTCCGATGGAAAAGTAATGAGTGTGGCTTCTTGGGCCCTTCTTGGGGGTGCTCTTGGAGGGGGCCTGGGACGTCTTGGAGGCTTCTTGGACGGTCTTGGGGCTATCTTGGGCGTCTTCGGCCGATCTTTGGGCGACTCGGGGCACTCTTGGGCCGTCTCGGGGGCCATCTTGGGCATTCGGACCTCATTTGGAGTGTTTTCGAGGTTTCGAGGCCGCCCGAGGAAAAACGAACCTGCCCCCTCACCCGCCCCCCCCACCCCCCCAGGACCCCCCCCCCCTGGGGAAGGGATCAAAGGGAAGGGGCTTCCCTTCGAATCGACAACGGCATGACGGCAGGAGGGTACGGCCCAAAAAGAAAAAGGGGGGAAGGAAGAAGGGGGGGCGGCGAGGAACGGACGAGGAAGCCCCTCGCACACGCCGGCAGGGTCGGCGGATTTACATTTACATTTACATTTACAGATCCATATACATATACATATACACATACATATACATATACTATACATATACATATGCATGTACATATACATATACATATACATATACATATACATATACATATACACATACATTTACATTTACATATAATATACATATGCATATACACATACACATACATATACACCTACACATACACATACACAGACACATACACATACACATACATATACGTATACGTATACGTATACATATACATATGCACAAACATATACACATATAGATACATAGACATAGCCACATATACGTACACATACATACACATTCACACACATATACATATACATATACACATACATAGACATAGACATATACATAGACATTTACATAGACATATACATAGACATAGACATAAACATATACATACACATATACATATACATATACATATACACATACATATCCATCTACATATACGTATACATATACATATACATATGCTTGTACATGTACATTTACATTTACATATACATATACATATACATATACATTTACATATACACATACACATACGCATACACAAACATATACATATACACATACATATACATATACATATACATATACATATACACATGCACATACACAAACATATACATATACACATACATATACATATACATACACATACACATACACATACACATACACATACACATACGTATACGTATACGTATACGTATGCATATACGTATGCACAAACGTATACATATATATATATACATAGACATAACCACGTACACGTACACATACATATACATTTACATACACATATACATATACATATACACGCATACATGTATATACACATACATATACACATACATGTACATAAACACATGCACGTAGCTATATAACATCAATACATTAATACACCTGTATATACACATAGATGCCTGTCCACCAGGGGTCCAGTCCCAGGCTGGGGCTCCAAAACCTCCGATGGGGCCAACTGCCTTCCAACAGTGCCTACGACGGCCTCGAAGATGGATCAACACTGTTCAAGGCAGCTCAAAGACGGCCCAAGACGGCCCCAAGTGCCTCCACGACGCCCCGTGAGTGCTCCCAAGAGGGCCCGAACAGGCAACAAATGCCCCATTCCGTCGGACAATTGTCAGTTTCAGCACATGCGCTTAAGAGCGTCCAGAACGACCCAAGAGGCCCGCAAGACCTCCTCAGAGCGGCCCAGGAGGCCCCAAGATAGCCCTAAGACGGTCCGTAGCCATTTTGGCTCAAGCTAGGCTGGCTCAAGTCGTTGTCCCATCCCAGGTGAGCCACAGATCAGGCGACTAATAAATAGCATTGCGAATGGCTTCTGAAAGTTTGTCTGCGCAAGATTGGTCAGACTTGAAAGAAAAGGTTAATGATCGTTCACAGTTGCAGGCTTTAGTCGCGGCCTTGTTCCTGACGATTACATATGCTCTGGACGGCACCCCAACCGACATCCATGATTTTGCATTGTGTAGTGAGGCTGAAGGTGACGCTCTATGTACTTGCTCAAATGTGCACGGCTCGTGCGGCAGAAGTGAGGACATGCTGGCAGCCTACCGCGTCCTGAATTATGTGGCAAGCATGTCATATATCGTTGTCCTGGGCATGATCTTTACGATTCTGTCGAACTTTGCGAAAGCCGACAAGGTATGGGTGGCGCGATACTTCGAGCAGGTAGGTTGGGTTGTCGACGGTATGGACAAGGTGATGTATGCCGGATGTGCTTTCTGGCTCGCTGGTTTTACGGTTCAGATGTCTTTGAATCTGAGCCCTGGTGAGTTTTGGATTTGCGTCGCATTCGAAGCCGCGGCTTTTGTCATCACCGTTTCGGTCAAGATATGGATGCGGTGGACGCGCATGTCCATGAATAAGATTGCGAAGGCAGGCGATTATCATCACGCATGAGCTGCAGGAAGCGTACGAGCCCCCATGTAAAAACTCACAGGACCAAGAAGGCGCGAAATTTGTGGTGTTGCTCGAGATTGACTGCCACAACCACAAAGCGGTGAGCTCCATCGAACGATTTTGCCACTGCCACGTTTTTTTTTTCCCTCCGGTGACTGGTCACCGGTGGCGCCTGGCTCATCTCTTTGGGCAGACTCCCCCTCCTCCCTCCCCCTCCTCCGGCCCTCCCCGATTTCTCTCCTCCCTCCCCGCCGCAGTCCACGGGCGGACCCCGCGCGACGCCGAGGTGTCTCACGCGCCCAATGTTGCGAGGCAGCTACTCGGGTAGCTTCCCTCCTTTCTCTTCCTTCTCCTCCTTTCTCTTCCTCCGCCTCCTCCTCCTTCCTTCCCTTCCTCTCCGTCGCCTGGGCAGCGAAGACTGCCCAGGGCCAGCGGTGCCTCCCCGCCAGCATATACACGTACACTGTTCTCTCTGCCGTGCCAGAAAAAAAAAGATAGCCCTAAGACGGCCCGAGAGAACCCCAAGACGGCCCAAGAGGCGCCCCCGAGAAGGAATTCCAATTGACATTCCTCCCCTGCATCAAGAATCTGGATCCCCTTGGGGATTTCATGGCATTTCCCCCGACGGTTGAAGAAACTCTCGGGACCATGGAGTGCTTGGCGTGTCTGACGTAGCTTGCACCAGATAGCTTGCAACGCAATTCTTGCACCGCAGTTCTTGCACCACATATCTTGTACCACATAGCTTGATTGCACAGTTGTGCGTGCTGTCGGCGTATGTATGGAAACATTCAGAACCAAGGCTCGCCACGCAGCAGTCTTGCAGTGCATGCCAAAGTGAACATGCTGGCAGTTCAGATTCAGCGTTGATCTCGCACGTCCGCCTGGAAATCCCTTGAGTGGTGACGTTGACCAGCCCCGCGATAGAACCGAAGCGCGCACGAACCGCGCGTGGTGTTTATAGTATACACATATCCATACACACTTGTAGTCAGTTGTGCTGCTACAGCCAAGTCCACTATTCATCGAAAACTGATTTGCCTGGACTTTGATTTCCGACTGGGGGGGGCTAAGTCGCGTGCGCCTCGAGAGGGCCCAAGAAGGCCCATAGGTCCCTAAGCTAAGCGAAGTGACCCTGAGACGACCAATGCGGGTCGAAGACGGCCCAGGATGGCTGCAAGACTGGGCAACTGGTTCCCCGATGGCCCCGAAGAGGATCCTCGAAATGCCCCGCAGGGACACACACTGTTGATGGTTCATAGTTTTTTTGGTTACTACGGTTTTGGGACACTATCCTTCTCGGGCTTCAATCTCGCCCCAAGATGGCGCACAAGGCGCCCCAGAGGGCCCTGACAAGGCTCAGTGAGGCCCTAGACGACTCAAGAGGGGTCCAAGATAGCCGAAGAGGGCCCGCATGCGCCTCAAGATGGCCCTCAGAAGGGGGCTCCAAGCAGCCAGCGAGAGCCCCCACACTGGCCAATAGAGCTCCCAGACTGTCCCAGGAGAAGAGGCTTCCAGAGGCCGAAACTTGTTGCTTTCCCCCCCCCCTCTCCTCCCTCCCCTCCCCCCTCCCTCTCCTCCCCCCCTCCTCCCTCTCCTCCCCCCTCTCCTCCCCCCTCTCCTCCCCCCCCTCTCTTCCCCCTCTCCTCCCCCCCCCCTCCCCCCCACGCGACTTTGCCAGGACGCGAGGAGGTCCGCTTCCGGCCTGCACGTGCCGCGGGCCCCCGACGACTCGGAGGCACCCGCTCGGAAGGCTCTCGGCGAGGCCGAGTTGCTCCACCGAGCAACGCTTCGCTGCTCGCAGAAAGTGCCTGCTCGCAGCCGTCCGAAGAGCGTGCTCGCCCCGACGTGACGGATCGCCGTTCCCCCGCGGTGGATCCAGGCCACCTGCGAGCAGTTTTTTTTTTGCGAGTCGTGCAGCGCGCTTCCCTGCTGCTGGAATCGCAGATGTCCTCCGATGCAATTTTGCGCCCCGGCCCCGGAGCTCGCGACCCTCTCGGTCTTCACATCCACGCTCCTCGCTCCTCGCTCCTCGCCCCTCGCTCCCAGCTCATCGCTCCTCCTCCTGATCCCTCCTCCTCCTGATCCCTCCTCCTCCTCCTCCCCCTCCTCCTCCTCCTCCTCCTCCTCCTCCTCCTCCTCCTCCTCCTCCTCCTCCTCTTCCTCCCCGGGGGGACAGCCTTGCAGCCCTTGGGCCCCCCCCCGTCCCGCGGTGCCCGAGAGCCGGCCCCCCCCCCGAGGCCGAGAGGAAGGCAAGCAAAAACTTCGGGAGGAGGGGGAGGAGGAGGAGGGGGAGGAGGAGGAGGAGGAGGAGGTTGGAGGAGGAGGGGGGGGGAGGGGGAGGAGGAGGAGGAGGAGGAGGAGGAGGAGGAGGAGGAGGAGGGGGAAGCGGAGGTCGAGGATCGAGGATCCAGGTGCTTGGCCGTTTCTCGGGCTCTCGGGGAGCCTCAGGGAGCGCCCCCGCCGCCGCGGCTGGGTCTCCAACGAGGCCACTTCGTGAAATCTGCGGAGAAGACTTCACAGACGCAGACAATCGTCGATGGTGATCGTTTCCTTTTTCATCGTTTTGCCGATCGGCGCGGGCCTCGCACCCCCCTCCTCCCCCCCCCCGTGGAGTAGATCTTGGCTGTTTTGGCGCCTGTTTCGAGCAGGTGGAGTCTCCCCCATAATGGACGCCCTGTTGCAAACAACCGCACTGAGCAGAGGTCCAGAGCCAGACCCCCCCCTGCCCCCCCCTCCCTCCCCCCTTCCGCCCAACGTCGAAACGCCGAACAAGAAAACGTTCACACTCCCAGGAACATCTGGAGCGTTCCATGAAGCTGGGTAGTCGAAGGCCAGACTGTCAGATTGGATTGGGCCCCAAGGGCCATTCTGGCCTGGCCAAACTGGAGGATTGAGGTTATTCGCCAGACTGGATTCGCGTTGGCTCCCTCGTCAGATTGCCCCCGTTTGCCAGATTGGGCCTGCCAGATTGGCGCCAGATTGGCTTCGACTACCCAGGAAGTAAGACATGTGCCCCCAAGATCGGCGGCGAGCGAGGGGGGGAAGGGAGAAGGAGAAGGCCTGCTCAGAAGGCGGCGGGACTTCTCAGAAGCCCTCGCGCCTTCTGAGGAATTTGTTTTGTCTATCTTCGGGGAAAGCTTAGCACATCTTCTGAGCCGGGGGCTTCCTGACCTTCTGAAAAAGGCCTTCTCCTTCTCATTTTCCCCCCTCGCTTGCCGCTGACAAGAGATGGACACGTTTTTGGATTCGGGCTTCCAGAACGGTTACCTATGGGAAAAAGTGGAAGTGGAGGGTAAGACGAAGCTCCAGAAGCATGTGGGAAACTGTGGGGAACCTCCTCTGGGATCCGACGCGGCGACAAAATTGAGACATGGCGAAACATTGCAGCACCGCGAAAAACGACGATCGTAGCTTTAGATCCCATCTTCCTGGGCTAACTTTTGAGTTATATTGATCTGTGAGGGTCCCGGGGCCCGAAACTGGGCGCAAACGCCGGGTGTGAAAAAATGCAACGCCAGGATCTCATTCGGTAGCAAATCATGGGAGCCTGCTCTTCGTTCCGTCTTCAGCGTCAACCAGTGTTGATTAGTGTCTGGGAGTCGACGAGATAGCGCCGATCTAGCGTCGGTTAGCGTCGATCAGCGTCGATTTGGTGTCGATTCAGCGTCGACCAGCGTCGATTAGGAGTCGATTCGCAAGCGCCAACAAGATGGTATGGGAGACTCCCATGCTCTGCCACCGAGAACGCCAGGATCTCAGTCGGCTTCGTGTGCCTCCTGGTGTGTGATCGCCGACGTCGCCAGTGCATCGCCGATGCATCGCCAGTGCGCGTGGCGCGCGGCCTCCGCGCGCGCTGCGTGCGCTGCGCGCACGGCGGCCGCCGCCGCGGGGGCGCGGCGCCCCGAGGCCAACACCGTGAGCCTCTTCGTCGACGGGCAGCGCGCGGCCGACCCCCAGCCGATCCCGGAGGACATGCTCGGCAAGGCCGCGGGGGGGGGGGGGGGGGGGGGCATCGGGCGTTGGGCGGGGCCAGGCCGAGGATAAAGTTTATGTCGGGCGTGTCCCCTCTCCAGGGGGATCTTCGACGAAAAATATATAGAATACCCCCAAAATGCCCCCAAAATAGTCCCTGGACTATTTTTGGACTGTTTTTTTGATGATTTTAGGGTATTTTTCATTTTTCGTCGAAAATCCCCCTGCAGGGGGACAGGCCCGACATAAGGATAGGTCTGTTCCACAGCGTGTCTCGGAGCGCTCTCAGAGCGCTCTGGGGCGCTCCGAGAGGGCCCCGGCGCCCGAGTCATCCTCCAGATCCGCGGGACCTCATTCGAGTATCGATTCATCCTTGCCCGAGCTCATCTTCGTCCTGGCTTCGTCTTAGTGTTGCCAGACAGGGGCGGCAAAGAGGGGGGTGGTGACTAGGGGGGGGGTATCATGGCGGGGGCCACGATAGCCTCCCAGATCTCCTGGCGCCTCTTCTTATCTTGCTGCGTCCCCTGGCGCCCTCGCTGGGCCGCGCACGTGCCGCCGGCCATGATTTGCGCCCACCCCCCCCTCTTGGACGCCCCCCTTTTGGACGCCCCCCATGGGAGGGGGGCGGGCATCGGGCGTTGCCAGTTGAAGAGATCGGAGCCTCCAGCGAGTTGAAGATATCGGGACGGAGATTTTGCGCCGTTTGCGGCCTCACACAGAGGCCCTCTCTGGTCCCGAAGACCGCCAACAAAATACGGTTCAGCATGGGAAAAAGCGCGGCCCTCGGAAAGGGGTCGTGATTTCCAGGGTTCTGCGCTGATGGAGTCAAGGCAGCGGGGAGGATGAGGAGGACGAGGAGGAGGAGGAGGAGGCGGAGGAGGCGGAGGCGGAGGAGGAGGAGGAGGAGGAGGAGGAGGAGGAGGAGGAGGAGGAGGGAGGGAAAGCGGAGGAGGAGGAGGAGGAGGAGGAGGAGGGAGGAGGAGGCGGAGGAGGAGGAGGAGGAGGAGGAGGAGGAGGAGGAGGAGGAGGAGGAGGAGGAGGAGGAGGAGGAGGGGGGAGGACGAGGAAGACGTGGAGGAGCACCCGAGGCTGTGGGAAGGTGTCCGGTGGCCAGGGAGGCCCCTCGGCCTCACAGAGCACCCCTCGCGGGGCCGAGGGGGCCAGGCCGCCAGGGGCTCTGGGAGGAGCACCCTGCTGGGCCAGGGACGCCTTGCGCGTGCTGCCAAGGGTGCCCTCGAGCCACGGTGCCGCCCAGCATCTCCAAGGGGGGCCCACGGTCCGCGGCCTCCAGAGCACCGCTCGCGAGGCCCCGAGGGCCTCGAGGGACCCCCCCCTCGGCCTCGCGCAGAGGGGGGCGGGAGGAGGGGGAAGGCTTCTAGTTGGAAGGAGGCTGCTTCCCAGCAGGCGCGGGCCTCGTCTGCAGGTGTAGGGCCAGCGCCTTCTCAGAAGCAGCAAGAAAAGCAGCCTCCTTCCAGGAAGCCCTCCGCCCTCCCCCTGCCCCCCTGTGCGTGCCGCCGAGGCGGCCCCGTGCCCGCTGCGGTCCGAAGCCCCCCTCCCCCCCCGTGCCCACGGCGGAGGCGTCCAGACGGAGGCGCTGCGGCCGACCTTGAGAGGTTCTTCAACTCTAAGTGTCCAGGCCTCGTCTGGGCCTCCCAGATGGGGCCCGAGCAGATGGGGTCGGAGGATCGCGCCGCACCGCCGATGCATCGCCGATGCGGCTCCGCGCTGACGGCGCCGATGCATCGCCGATGTCGCCGATGCACCGCCGATTCGTTGCGGCGCGATCCTCAGACCCTATCTACTCGGACCCCATCCAGGAGGCTTCTAAACGGAGGAGGAGGAGGAGGAGCATGATGAGGAGGAGCATGAGCAGGAGGACGAGGAGGAGGAGGAGGAGGAGGAGGAGGAGGAGGAGGTGGAGGAGGAGGAGGAGGAGGAGGAGGAGGAGGAGGAGGAGGAGGAGTACTAGTGTATACCCAAGACGCAGCAACGACGTCGCCGATGCATCGCCCCCTGGTACGCGCCGCGAACCAGGGGCTCCGGTAAAGAAGGCGCCCTGTGCCAGGGGCCACGTCCGGCACCCCCTTCGAAGGGCGGGCTCGCAAAAGTGCCTACTCGCAGACGGCCCAAACTATGTTGTTCGATGCAGGCGGGCCGCCTTCTCGGCCCTCGCACGGGAGCCCTGGGCCGTCAGACGACGAGGGCTCACGCGCCTCACTCCTCTCATGGGGGAGGCGTGCGACGTCCAGCACGACCTCGCGCCATAGGTGTGCGTGCAGGGCGACCACCCCAGCGATTCTCTGGAGAGCGCCCGAGGAAGGCTCCAGGAAGGCGCGCAAGGCAGCCACGTGGCGGGGATGCGCGAGGCGTCAAAGAGCCGGATCTCCTCGCGTCGTGAACACAACCACGGCGGGCGGTGTTGGAGCCTGTCACGGCTTCTGGGGGCCCCTGCTGGGCCCCCGGGGCTGTCGGACGACGAGGACGGGATGAGAAGCCGGTTCCCACGGTGGGGTCCGGACCTCTGCGGAGCCACGTTGTGAAGAAATCACGGCGTCGGACGTCTGGGTCTCTTCGTTTTTTGGGGGGGGCGTCTTTTTGTTTGTTTTTTTTCTCTCTCTCTCTCTCTCTCTCTCTATATATATATATATATATACATCTCCCTCTTTATTGTATATATATATATATATCTCCCTAATTCTCTCTCTCTCTCTATATATATGTCTCTGTCTGTCTCTCTGTCTCTCTCTCTCACGTGGCCGTAGTGGGCGCGGGGCGTTGATGAGGTGGAAAGAGGTGGTTGTGGACGTGGCGGGGGTGGAAAAAGGAACGCTGAGGCGCTCTACCCTACGATCACCTACAAGAACGTGACGTTGCAGGTGAACTTGGGTCGGCTGCTTAGCCTCCAGCAGACCTCGTGCGCGATTCTGCCCCCCAGGAGGAGGCGGAGGAGAAGGAGGATGAAGAATAGAAGGAGGAGGGGGGAGGAGAAGGAGGAGGAGGAGGAGGAGGAGGAGGAGGAGGAGGAGGAGGAGAGAGGAGCAGGGGGAGGGGGAGGGTGAGGAAGGGATTGAGGGAAGTGGAGAAGGCGGGGTCAAGGAGGAGGGAGGAGGAGGCGGAGGATGAGGAGGATGAGGAGGATGAGGATGAGGATGAGGATGAGGATGAGGATGAGGATGAGGATGAGGATGATGATGATGATGATGATGATGATGATGATGATGATGATGATGATGATGATGATGATGATGATGATGCTGATGCTGATGCTGATGCTGATGATGATGATGATGATGATGATGATGAGGAGGAGCAGGACGATGATGATGGTGGTGGTGGTGGTGGTGGTGATGATAATGATGATGATGATGATGATGATGATGATGATGATGATGATGATGATGATG